TTGTGACAAGATGAGAAGAGGTATCCGGGACAGAAGGGGCTGAGGAATTAGACTCGGTTCTAGAGGTGACGTCCGAGGAGGAGGATTGTGAGGCCATGCCGTATTTGGTCATGGTGAGAGAACGGCCAGAGAAAGAAGAATTGAGAAGGATTAGGGTTCAGAGAGCTCTGATACCATGAAGAATTCAATGAGAAGAATTCTGAATATTCTCATTATTTGAATAATGAATTTACATTCTAATATATAGCCTATTGTGGCTGGCGTACCAGTCCACCAGAAAAGGAAACAGAATTCCTTTTAATTAGGAATCCCATCAAAATAGGAAAGTAAATAAATTACAATATCTAACATGGGAAATAAGGAACTAGAATCTATTCTAAATAAAGAAAAAATAAATAACTTCCTAACTAAATACACAAGGGTCGGATTTCTTTCTACAAGATTATTTAAGGATAGCAATTCCCATACTAATGGCAATATATATATAGTGAAAAATGTGGAACCTTGAAAACTCTACAAAGTCCCCTTCTCTTACGAATCTTTACTCAATACTTAGATAGAAAAGATCTTTACTTAATATGCACACGTAATAATCTAAATCTTTACAAAAATTGACGAATCTTTAATTGATATTGACTATTGCATACATAGTATTAGTTACAGTAATATGCATACCAACAATAATGTTGTAACCACTATGTGTTAGGCAGTTCCAGCTTTTGGGAGTGACCAGTGATCTCTTTTAGACTTTGTGCTTATTTTGTTGTGTATTTTTCAATTTTAGGATACCATTAGATTTACGACTCTAGAAGTACTATGTATCTTTAGTTCTATAAATCTGTTAGTGTTTTAACATGAGGCCAACGCCTTGCCTCACTGGCGTAAATATTTAAAAGGCTAAATCTAGAATAACCATATATTGCCCCACTGACCTTTTATTAAAATCAATAATAATAATAATAACTGGAGGAAAAATAAACAAAAAAAAAAGAATGGAAACGGTGACTTATGATGTAACAAATTTCTGGGACAAAAAATGAAACAATGAGAAATTACAATTGAAAAAAGTACTGACTCACATTTGCTCCTTGCAAGAGACCAACAATTTCCTGTAAATGCAAATGACAATTTTGGCAGATGGAAAATTCTCAATTCCTTGTAACACCTTTGCTCAAGGTTATTTGTGATCTGATAAAAAATTTGAAACCTTCGTCAAAAGAGTAGAAAGAGTTCCATTTTAGATATTTATTAGTCAATGAGTTTGTCCTTGAGTATCAGAATGATCACAGTCACTAAAGAAAATAAAGAGACAGTTCCACACTGGGGGTGCCACAAATGAAACTCTGTAGATTTCTTAAAGGGTGAAAGAAATGGACTATAACAAAAGGAGTTTTCTGCTACCATGTACCATCAGATATTAACTGGCAAAAAGACGCTACTTTGATATAGCTTATTAACATGATCAACAAGTTACTAAGACATTGCCAATTGAAAGTTTCTGTCGTTTGGATTAAATAACCTAAAGTGTAGAAATTAGGAAAGTAGACTAAAGTCATGGGACGGATATGTACTGATCTGGTTAATAAGGGCATAGAGATAAATTAGGAAAGTAGTTTATTCTTTCAATTTTTAAAGAGATTCCTTGAGATAAGGATCTCCCTCAATCAAGAAATTTACTTTCCCTATTCCGTGGGAGTTTTTCCTATAAATATTGTAACGCTTGTACAAAAAATAATCAATGAGAAATACTTTCTTTTCTGCCCTGAAACCTACATGGCTAAAACAACCATTACAGAAGAAGGAAGATCCTCGGCATCGTCTAGGGCAGAAGGCATTGTTTAGAGCTGAGCGATACTTTTTGTTCTATAGAATGACGAACAGTGAGAAAATCCAAGTTGCTGAAATGGCTATGAAAGGTGATGCTTTGGCTTGGTATCGATGGCAGGATGCTCATTGCCCGTTCTACATTTGGAATGAATTGAAGACTAATTGAAGACTCACCTGCTTAAGCATTTTAGATTGTCATCCGATGAGGCCTTACATGAGAGTTTCTTGGTGAAAGGTCAAGAGGATATTATGGCTGACTATAGATGACAATTAAGGTACTTGCCAAACCTAGGAAAGAGATTTCAAATTCGGTTTTAGAGAGAGTTGTCATTACAAAATTGGAAGTCGATAAAGAGCAAGTGGTAGGCAATTCAAGCAGGTTGCTTTCAGCTCAAATAACAGATGTTTCAGATCTAATGGATGTTCAAGGAGACTTGACTATGAAGAATTTTGATGGCAAGGTGGACCAAGGCATTGAAAATGAAGTTGGTTTTCAATCTGGTGCTAGTAATGAAGGGCTTCAAGATATGGGAAACAAGATGTCAATGATATCAAAATTTTCCAAGGATGTTACTATAGAGTCGGAGTTTAATGCACCAGTGAAAGAAGTTAACAGTGGAGTCCATTCTTGTATTTTAAAAGATGAATTTGATTCTGTTTGCAGCAATTCTGGGGCTGTTGACAAAGGAATGGAGAGTGTACATTTGCAGCTGCCTTCCATTGTTAATGTTCTGACAAACAACAAGGCAGCTTTCTCTGGCGTGGTGGAACATGCACCGCAGCAAGATAACGCTTGTGGGAGGAAGGTGTTTGTTATAAATGAATTGTTTGAGCTGACCAACAAGGTCTTCCATTACTACAAGGATGATTTTGAGGCTGAGCTTCATGGTTTCGCTGCCTTTAAAGTGGTTCTCAATTTCAACTCCAAACAAAAGTGTGAAGTTGAAAAAATAAAGTTAACAAGAACAATTGAAGCAAGTTTTGTACGAATCATTCTGTTCGACGTTCCAAGATCCAAGCTCATCAAGATTGGAAGTGGAGTCACACAGTTGCGATTACTTAACACCTTGAGGACAAGGTGTTTCTTTAAGGCGGGGGTAATGTTAGGATCCGTTAATGACTTGAGAACTTGTTTGGTTAGTGGGCTGGTAGGGTTAGTAGGAATTAGTATAAATAAAGGGCTTAGTAGCGCACTATAAATAAAGGGCTGTGATTTTAAGAGTTTTGGGAGACTGAGATTAGGGAGAGCTAGTGGTCTCTCGAATACCATCAAAGTTAGGAGTTCTCCGGAGTCCTCGAATACTCCAGTCTATCCTAAGCTTTCTTTACGTTTTTCCTAGTTTGGTTGTAAAATTCTATGAGCTAGTGTTGGTAATGATCAATAAAACTACTCAGATTGCCTTCTATTCTTGTTCTTCTGTGTGAATATTGAGATGTGAGAATCAGGTTCTTAAAAATTTGGTATCAGAGCAATCAATTCTTGAAAAAAAAAAAACTGTGGAAAAAAAATTACAAAAAAACAGGTGAGAAGAGTTTGGAATCGTGGGGTTTTGAGAACCAGAGGCGCCGACCATACGAAATGCGCCGGCGAGTGACGACAGAGGGAAGACGGCCAGATCTGGAATTGCGTGAGATTGACGAAGATTGGAGCCATTTATCTCGATCTGGTGCTAAGACGTTCAGATGTGAGAAGAACGACGACCCTTGGCTGATGCGAACTGGTCTGCAAATCCAACGCCGGCAAACGACGCCAGAGATGCGACCTGAGATGGGCGATTCACGCCGGCGTGGGACACAGGTGGAGATGCGAACTGTTTGGAGCGATTTTTCGCGATCCGGAGCTAGATCAACTAGATCTAAAGTGAACGGCAACAGATTCGCGACGGGATCGAGCATAGATAGGGCTGGGTTTCGCGATCCCGGTGCGTTCAAAGGTGATTCCGGCCGGATTTGGACCGTGTGTCGCGATTCCGGTGTGTCTGAGACTAATTCTGACCAAATTTGGACTGGGTCACGCGAGTTTGGCCCGATTTGGGCGGATTCCGGTGAAGGGTTGGGTCCTGAAATTCCGACTGCCATAGGTCTGGGTTTTGCGATTCTGATGTGATTGAGACTGATTCCAGTGATGTTTAGGTTGGACCTCGAACTTACAGCAAGATTAGAGCTAATTACAACCAAATATGGATTGGATCTTTAAGTTTTGACATGACTGGGGCTAGGTCTGGGCAATCTGAGTTGGGTGAGGGAGATTGGGTTTTACAATCTGATTTGAGAGAGCGAGTTGGGTCTTCACTCAAAAACTGTACAGTAATGAACACGTTCCAATAATTCAGAAAGGAATACTAAATTATACACACCCTCAAATGCATAATTGAATTTGACGAAAACAAATAGTTTTTAATTGATAATAATGAATTCATTTAAATTACGAAAAAATGTTTAAAACAAAGATGAAAAAAGTAGGTCATTTTTGTTTTATATTATTACCTCCACTTGGCATTGTCTTATAATGAATATGTTTGCCTCTTCATAACACCTCATTTTAGAAAGTAAAAACATAAACATAAGATAAATAAATAAAAATTTGAATATCAAGAAGTAAACAATAGATAATATTAAAAAAGACAAGTCACAAGTACATACACTAAACAAAAATAACTGTTGAGTGAGAACTAACACAGAATAATAGAGGACTATAACCTCCATGCTAGTAAGATGTCCATTGACAAATAGGTTAAGTAAAATGGTCAAATACAAATGGATAAACATTATCAACATTTACCAAATTAAGTCACATCATTTACCAAATTTCACATCATTTACCAAAAAAACAAACAAACTAAGTTACATCATTTACCAAATTTCATCCATCAACTTAATCAACATTTTCCATGAACTACAGTGTCAATCGCAAGTGTCTCTACTCAAAAAACTGTATAGCAAAGAACACGTCGTTCCAATCAGAAGACAAAATTTGATAACTAACTCAGTGACCATGAATAGGATACTAAATTATATGACGCCAGTAAGCACACAATGAATCCAATGGGTATTTGATAAAATACAAATCCTTTCAAACGCATTTGAATAAAATAAATAGTTTTTAATTGACAATAACATTGAGAATAAATATTTAAACCAAAGAAGAAATTAGAGGTCAGTTTTTAGTATTACCTCCTCTTGTCATCGTCTTAAAGTGAATATGATGTTTGCCTCCTCGTAACCCCTCATCTCAAAAAGTATAAACATAAACAAAATATAATAATAATAATAATAATAATAATAATAATAATAATAATAATAAACATTAAACATATTAAGATTTAAATATCAAGAAGTAAACAACATATAGAATTTAATAAGACATTAATAAGTACATATACTAACCAAAATAATGGGTGAGTTTGTTGGAGAAAAGGGTTGCCTTAAAAATATGCGAGTCTATGACGCCGATAAGATCTCTAATAAGTACTTGTTAATAATGGCTCATTTGTTTGAGAGGTCCATTCTCCTGTGCTGCTCCAAACTGAACACATAAACTCCAAATCATGCAATTGCAGAACAATGGTAAAAAAGAAAAATTATATACTAAAAGTTACTTGTTGCTAAAAAATTAGAAAAAAAAATCCCGAAGTAGAATTAACTCTGTAACCAACACTAGGATTTCTGCACAGGGAAAAAAAGTTTTGCGCAATTCTTTTGAAAGAGTAGAACTTGACATGACCGGCAATAAACTGCTAAATGGATTGTTATTTTAGAAAAGTTAAAAAAATAGCTAGAGGATCACATTCAGAAAGTAACGAATAATCATTCACCTATCAGATCTTGAAAAACAAGGCAAGACTATAAATTCTACTATAGAACTAAATCATTTGTTCATTTTTCCCAGAAACTTAATCAATTTGTTTTTAAAGAAGCTTAGTCTTTTTTGCCAATTGAAAATCTACCTCCATGGAAAAAAATTTTGCGAAACCATCAACTCTTTCCAGAGTTTGGTTGTGGACCTTAAACAAACAAGAAATACAACAAACAAAACTTTTGAAATATTGATGCTAAAATCCATAATAAGCATTTTGAAGAAATCTCATTAGTTTTTATTTTTTCATATATAAAAAGCTTGATTGCCTTGTAATTCAAATAAAGGAGCACAAAAAATTCCTCGAAAACGCCGTGGTTGTCATTACTTGTAAAAGCCAAACACTAAAACTTTAGGTGTTTAAATCATCTTTTTATCCTCTGAGTGTGGCACACACGCTAAGTAGAAGCTGAAGATGAATAGATCATAAACAGAGTAAAATTTGTTTGGCAAAATAGTGTACTTCAAGTGCGTTTAAATGTCTGTACATACTATCTATATGAACTCCTGAGCAAAAAAAAAAAAAAAAAAAAGATGAAACCTTTAGAAAGTTGTAGTACTGAATGATAAGATATGTAAACATAAATATGTATCATGATGGCTACTTTGACTGGGGGCATCCTCTGAACCACAATCTAGAAGCAAAAAAAGCCACCAAATAATTAGCAAAAAGACCACATTTCCTAAAAACTCCAGTTAACTGATACACTAACATGTGGCAACATAACAACGGTCGGTGAAAAAGCAGTGCTATCACATTAAAAGGAAAAAAAATTAGTTGATTAGAAACGGGTCAAAAACAAATCAGAATCACACATGCACACATACGTGCACAGAGAGAGAGCGAGAGAGAGAGAGAGAGAGAGACTGAATATTTTATGACGGGAATCAATTTTACACTTATGGTTCTGATTGCATTTGCATAAGCAAACAACAAACAACTCTTACTGAGAAGATGTAGAAGGAAAGGAATTGAATATAAATTAGAATTATGTTACTTTGTTGGAAGGATTTTGTGCTGCAGTGTCACCACCTCTATGACAATCTCCTATTGGTCCACGTGGCATCCATGAATTTGTTTGAACCCCCCTTCTCCTCATGATCCTACTGCTGTCTTTTCTGTATATTGAATGAACAAATTAAAAAACAAAAAACTTAAAAAAAAAAAACTCTAGTTAATTGATACACTAACATGTATCTTAAATGATGCAAAGAAAAAAGAGGATATGAATCCTCAATTCAAGCAACTCTTCAGGTAAAGAACTCCCCAACTATCTCAATCTTTCAAAAGCAAGCCTATATGCTTATTGATGAAAACATATTTATATTAATGTATTTAAGTCTTCAGTTAACAATACTAAAGGACTGTACTGACTTTAAAATCTCTCTTTCATAATGACTTCGCCGGTTTTCAATATCCAAAATAGAGTAAAAAACCTCATTTTTTCGGGATAATGCAGAAAAAGGAGTTTAGTCCCAAAGCATCAACGGAATAAGTGCTTAATGTGACATTCTCTCATATTTTGATAATCAGTGTGACAATTTGGTCTTCCACATCAAATTTTTAAGTAAAACCAAGAAAAATTAGCTGAAGGGCATCGTTGAGCGACAAAATGCATGGAAGTGATTAATCGACAGTTAGTTCACCTTATATAACAAGCAAAACTACTTTGAAAAAACATGGGACAAAGGCAGATAAAACTTTTGGCTAAAAAGGGATATTGAATAAAACTTCCCGAGGCTTCAATATAGTGTTTTCAGCCACAAGTATTGATGCTCGAGCACTTGCCGTTATTTGAGATATAGGTGAAAAAGCTCGAAAGAAACAAAGTTCCATCACTTTATCCCGAAGTTGCGTATCAAACCAACCATTATCACAGTCCTTTCATACCTCTGAACCTGTTAAGACCAAAATACAAATGAATTAGTCAATTCGGACTGATTTTCATGGTATGTGTGATTAATGACAACTTTTTGCTAGCAAGGACACAAAAACAAGAACATTCAATTGATTGTCTAGCTATTCGATCTCGGAAAATGTAGATTAGAATTCAGCCTCTCCAACATCTTGAAAAGCCTTCTTGTAACATCGGGATTCCTATAAATGGTGGAAACTTAATAGAGAATCTAGTCAAATTAAAAATGGCTAAGATGCATATAAACATTCTTCTCTAATGTGAACTGAACATTATGTTAAGAATTTATAAAGTTGGAAAGCGGAGGGGGAAAAAAAAAACCATCGAATGGTTTTGTAAGAGACATCTACTGCTTAGGGTTTTAATACTTAGTGGTGGGAATGGTTCCTATGATATCACCCTTCCCTGAAATCTTACTAGCTTGTCATAATTTTCGAAGCAATTGGATGTCCGACTCAGGCCTATATGACATGACCAATCAATAGAAATATTCTAACACTCCACCTTTGTCATATATTCTATACATCACACTCGATAGATATCATATTCATAACAAAAATTAAGGAAAAAAACATGTGGCTGAAAAATTTCAAGCACTTTAAAAAGGCTTCTTAAGTTGTCTCCATTCTTCTAAAAAGTTCATAATTGGCATGCGACTGACATCATTGTTGTGTACTTCATCGTGCAAGATTCTTTAACAATCCACATACTTGACTTGTAAGAAGCAAATCATATTAGTAGCTCCCACCTAGAGAAAGTTCACACAGGCACACACGTATCCATTAGAATTTAGATGTTCTGTTTGGTTCCCATGATTTGCCAACTTCGTGACAAAAAGAATTCTAGAAATATCCACATAAAACATAAAGGCTGCAAAACTCAGAAAACTATCTGGACGTGCACGACCACATCTTCTTTATTAGTTATGCACACCATCAAAGCAACATACCTTATCTGCCTACTTACCTGACCTTTAAAAAGAGAAAACACATTAATAATTACTACTACAAAGTAGGTGGATTAGAACCCTATTAATGAAAGGCAAATGACAACCAAAATTAAAGAGCATTTGCTTACAATATCTTGTATGCTCAAGGAACCAAAAAAGCAATGCAATTGGAAGCCTAGCAATTGGATCTCAGCAACATTAAAAAGCTTATTCAGTGACATCCACCTCTAAACTAGCACTTGTGTCTTTCCAAAATCCTAGAAGTTCTTACTACAATATCAATTCCAAGTATACAACTAGAAGCTGAATAGAAAGGCAGAAAAATCATCAGCATCTGTCTCAAAATAATAAGAATACAAAAATCAAAGAAATAAAACCCACTCTACCAGTTTTTCCCTGAGAGAATCAGTCAAATTTTGAGAGCACGGTGGTTGGGCAAAGTACTACCATAAATATAAAGTCCTTGCTAACAATAACTTCTATTCAAATTCCTCAACCCGTATTCATAAAACCAATTAATAACTTAAGCCATGTCTCTCCTAATGAAATCAGGTTCTCTATTCAGTTTCCACCATTTACGATATCTTGTATGCCGGGTGAATACAATCATAAACCAAATTGAAGCGGCTGAGCAGAAAATGCTGCGGCAGAATCCATGAACCCTGCGGAAAAGAAATCAAGTAAATTATAAAAGTCACTACGATAAGCACTATTACAGAAGCAAAACAATCATTAGAAACCTCAAAGAATCAAGTTATACGAACAATTTGAATAAAGGAAAAAATCCCCTCTTATAGGCTCAATGAAATCCAAATCAAGCCCTAATTTTACTCTCCAGAATAAAAAATGAACTTCACCTTTTCCTTCAGCAGCTAAATAAAAGAAGTAACTCCACAGTCAGAACCCACACCTAACAATACCTGGACACCGGATTCGCAGATTCCAATGATGGAGTTCTCGGGAACCGTCTCCATGGTCTGGTTCCTCTTGAGAAGGTTCGACGACGGCGGGAGCAGGCTCTTCAACTTGGAGGCGGAGAACGCCGGCGAGTGCTTTGGAATCGGAGGCAAAGAGGCGGAGCGTTCTCCTTGGAGCCTATCTTTTTCCGCGACGGCCGGGCCTTGGCTATGCTAGGGTTCGGCGATGCCGGACTCTAATCGTCGTCTCACTCAAGATAGCGTTTCTTGGCTTCATGAAGTGCTTCATGGCTGCGAAATCTAGAGAGAGAGAGAGAAGGCGGAGGAGAGGGATCGAGAGGGTTTTGGATTGGAAATGGAGAGAAGTCAGGAGCGAGAGAGAAGGGGAAATGTAGCCGTTGGAGGTGGGGACTGGTGTTATTATTTGTCTATTTCGATCGGGAGAGAGAGAAAAAACAAAAAAAAACAAAAAAAAACAAAAAACAAAAAAAAAAAGGCTTTCTGAAAATTTTCTAATAGAGAGCTTTGGTCGAAGACATTCAAGGCCAATAATTTTTTTTTTTTTAATGTTTAGTATTATTTTCAAAATGATTTTATTTTCGGTACAAAAATAAAAATGAGATTATTTTAAAAATTATTTTAGAACCGATTTTAAAATTACGTTTAGTGATTTTTCAAGAGATTAATTTGAGTATTATAAGAAAGTGAAATTTTGTTTGGTTTATCCCTGATGATGATGTTTTTTAAGTCAGAATCTAACTGTTTGATCTTTGATTGGAGGCTTTTGTAAAGCCTTCATTTAATAATAATGGATAAATTATCATTAATGAGTATATTAATAATTAAATTACATATATAATAAATTAATATGTTAAATAATTAAAAATAGTAATTAATAATTAATTATAAATAATTACTATGATAGTAATGTACTCATATTTATTAGATTATAAGTAATTAATTAGTGTATTAAAAAAATAATTAGTATATACATAATTTATTAATATTTTGTTTACTACTTAAATTATTAACTTTTAGTTACATAATAAAATAATTCTGAATCATGATTCAGAATTACTATAAACGAACACTGATTCTCAATCAGGATTCAGAATCATGATTCTGGATCCATCTACCAAACGCACCCTTAGTTACATGTTTATTCATATACTGCAAATGGTAGAATTTACTTGATTCAAGGTCAAAATTAATCGTTATAGATATAAAGTTTTTTTTTAAAAGAGAAAATCCAAAAAGTACCCCCTCAGTTTTAGTTAAATTCAACATTTACCCTTGTATTTTTGGTAATCCAAAAAATATCCCTTATGTTTTTAAATTATCCCAAATTTATTACCCTAAGTTTTTCAAAAGAAGTAAAATATAACCCTTTAAGTAATCAAATTGTTGAAACTGACATAAATAACCTTAGTGTTCAATAATTAAACATTATCTTAAAAACTAGTAACTAAGAAACTAAACTTAAAGATAAAAGGTAAATTTTCAATAAAATAAATTCTATATTTTTGAAAAAAATTTAAAACTTAATCGATTAGATTGGTCTAACTCCACATAAAATGTCGTGCCCTCATTATTGATATACAACTAGTAGATTTGGACTTGTCAAATCGGTTGTCTCTACACTCAATATTACTCTACAGTGAATCATTTAAACACGTTGAATTTTTTGTTTTCTTAATTTTATTTAGTTTTAAAACTTATGTTTTAAAAGTTTTTTAAAACTTATGTTTTAACAGTTTTACATAATTAATGTTTAAAATAAAGGTTTTTTTTTGTATTTATAAAATGTTCATCAATTAAATGGTTATCTCGAAAAACGTGAGGAATAATTTTAGGATAATTTAAAAATTTAAGAGATATTTTTTGAATTATCAAAAACACATGGACAATTGTTGGATTTAGCTAAACCTTAAGAGATACTTTTTGGATTTGCTCAATATAAAAAAGCATAGGATAAATATTGAATGTAAAAATATATTGAATGCAAAAATCAGAGCAAAAAAAATATTGAATGTAATGTTTAAACTATTAAACCACATAAAATCAAGATATTTCTTATTTAAAAATAGGGATAAGAATTATTTTTTTTTACATAAAAAAAACTTTAGTACACTTGTAACTTTGAAAGCTGTATCATCGCTCTCAGAAACTACGAAAAGTTATCAAAAGTTTACTCATTTCATCCATTAAGTTTTTTTTTTCCTTACTTTTTGTCCATATTATTTTCCTCTCAAATGTATAAGTACTCAATTCTCAAATATATATATATATTGTAGCTTTCTCGACTTTTATTTTCTCATT